CCCGGCCGGGCCCGGGCTGTGGCGGGGTGTCTGCTGCCCTCAGAGGGCAAAGCTCATTTCGGGGCCGCGGATAAAAGCATCAGGAGGAGCCGGCTGCTTTGCTCCAGTTTCCCGCAGGGATGGGGGGACTGGGGAACCCCGCGTTTCCCTGCCCTTGTTCCCCGCGCCCCTCTCGGCTGGGGAAACGGTGGCTGCTGCCTGTGAAGTTACCGCAAATGGGAATTAAATCCCCTTACTGCACAAGCACGTCTGTGAATGCAGGCAAGGGGAGCTGGGGAGGATGGGGGCAAAGGGATGCTTCGTGTTAGCCCAGTTTTCAGCTGGGTGCACACGTGAGGCTGGTGCCGGAGGGCACTTGGGGACATGTACAAGCCGAGCATAGGCATGGCCCCCGTGTTTTGGTGTGTGGGGAGCTCCCGGGGCACAGCTTGCTGTAGTGCGGTGTCCTCTGTCCTTCCCATCGCAGGATTACTACGGCAAAAGACTGCAGAAGTCGGAGGACCTGAGGACCAATGCGTGCATCACCTCGGCCGTGCCCCTTCCCAAGGCAGTGAGAGATGCTCTGAAGCGTGTCCATGAGGAGGTGGTGGCCAGGTAAACCCTGGGGTGTCCCCTCTGCTGCTGCCTCCCCGTGGGCTGCAGCCCCCCCGGACCATCGTGCGGCAGAGGTACCTCCACTCAGCTCAGCTCAGCATCTCCCCAGGTACTATGGCTGTGGTCTGGTGATCCCGGAGTGCCTGGTGTTGTGCCGGATCCTGGACCTGGGCAGCGGCAGCGGCAGAGACTGCTACCTGCTGAGCCAGCTGGTTGGGGAGCGGGGCCATGTCACCGGGATAGACATGACCGAGGGCCAGGTATGGTGTGGAGCCGGAGCTTCCCCTCGTCCCCCCAGCAGCCCCCCACTGTCATTCCCTTCCTCCTGCCAGGTTGAGTTGGCGAAGAAGCACATTGCCTACCACATGGACAAGTTTGGCTACCAAAAGCCAAACGTGGAGTTCCTTCAGGGATACATGGAGAAGCTGGGTGATGCCGGGCTGGCTGATGAGAGCTATGATATTGTCATGTAGGTACCGCGCAGGGCACTGCCACCCCTGGTCCTGCTGCTGCCTGGGGCCGTGAGCTGGGGTCTGGGTCTGCATCCCACTGGGTCGCTCGCTTCAGGAGAACACATTAGGAAAGGGAAAATCCCAAGGCAGAGTCTGGGCTAGAGGCTGGAAATATAGAAACTACCCTTTTCATGGTTAAATTGGCATCTCCAAATCCTGCCTGAAGCAATGGGATGTGCAGCAGTTGGTGAATGTGCAGCAGCCGGGAGTACTGAGCATTTGAGAGGGTGCAAATGAGCCTCGATCTTCTCCTCCCCAGCTCCAACTGTGTGATCAACCTCGCTCCTGACAAGAAGGCTGTGCTGCGGGAGGCTTACCGTGTGCTGAAGGTAACGCCAGGGCCAGCACCCGTGGCAGGAGTGAAGTGGGGTTAGGGTGCTCCTGCTGTTGAGGTGCCACTGGGATGCAGCAAATGGGATCTGGCAAGGCAGGGATGTGGGATGGGGCCAGGGGAAGGCACTTCTGCAGAGGGGCCCGAGCAGGATAGCATTGGGGGGTGCCCAATTCTCCCTGCACCTTTTGTCCTGTTGCTTCTTGGGGTCTCCCTTCACTCCTCGCTGCCTTTTAGCCCGGTGGAGAGATGTACTTCAGCGATGTCTACGCTAACCAGCGCCTGAGCGAGACTATCCAGAAGCACAGGGTGCTGTGGGGTGCGTAGGGCTCTGGGATGGGGGTGGCATGGGATGGGGGGACTGGACCTTTGCCTTCATCACCCGTGTCTGCGGTCTTGTGCCAGGGGAGTGCCTGGCGGGAGCCCTGTACTGGAGAGACCTGTACAGCATCGCCGAGGAGGTGGGGTTCAGCCCCCCGTGCCTGGTCACCGCCAGCCCCATCACCATCGGTGACAAGGAGCTGGAGGCCATCATTGGTGAGGGTCTGACCAAGGAACATCAGCTCTGGGCAGCCGTGGGGAGCTGTGCTGAGATCTCGGGCTCCGCTGGTTCCCAGCCCAGGTTCTTGGTGCCCAACCCACCAACCTCTCCCTTGCAGGCGACAGCCGCTTCGTCTCTGCGACGTACCGCCTATTCAAGGTGCCAGGTAGCAGCCGGGCCGGGCCGGGCCAGGTCATCTACAATGGTGGCATCGTGGGGCACGAGCGAGAGCTGGTGTTTGACGCCAACTTCACCTTCAAGGTACGGGGTGAGGCTTTCCCAGGATGCCAAGCAGTCCTGGTCTGTAGGGGTGGGAATGGGGCAGCCAGACCCATGCATTGCATTGAGGTGGAGGTGGGAGCAGGACATCTGTGGTGGCTTCACAAGGGGGGTTGGAGCCAGCTCCTTGGTTGTTGTGGGTTGTTCTCAAGGTTTTGGGTCAGGCTGTGTCCCTGCTTTTGCCCGCCACCCATTGTCTGACTGGATGGCTGGTGTTCCCTGGGTCATGTATCCCAGACCCCAGCCCTGTGACTGTCCCTCTGTCCCCAGGAAGGAGAGGCGGTGGATGTGGACGCTGAGATGGCCGCGATCTTGCGGAGCTCTAGGTTTGCGGAGGAATTCTTGATCCGAGCCGGCGGGGCCAATGCTGCTGCACCACAGGGCTGCTGTCGCAAGGGGGTGAAGGTTGGTAGCAGGGAGCTCCATGGCTGGGTTCAGGGATAAGGACACGGGTGTCCCATGCCATCAAGAGTTGCCCTGGGATATCAGCGAGGCTATGGCATGACACCAAGAGACCTGAGTCCTTCTGGGCCATGCAGGAGCCCATGGGGCACTGAAGGTGGTGCCTGGTGCCTGAGTTTGGGCAGCTGCACCCCAGTGCAGGTTGGAGCCCTCCAAAGAGGTGTTCTGCTCTAACCACCAGGCATGAAAGCCCCTTCCTCCCCCAACATGTCCATGGGGGCTGCTGAGGTTGACAGCTGGACCTGCTTGATGTCTCCCAAGGGGAGACATCCTTCCTCCAGGAGATGGCTGGAGACAGCCTGCCCCAGGGAGGTGATGGCCCATCCCCGCGGCTCCTTCCTCCCCATCGCTCTCCCAGCACCTCCCAGCTGCTGATGTGAGCTTGAGCCTGGCTGCCAGCCCTGACCCCACAGCACAAAGCACCTCTATCTGCTGGAAACCTCTCTTCTCCTCCCCATGGTGGTCCTTCCAGCCTGCAGATGGGCCAGAAGAGGCTGGGAAGCAGGGATCATCGGTACATGAGGGAGATAAAGCCCTGCAGCTGCGTGTCCCTGAAATGCAACCTTGTACTTGGGGAGGGGGAGATGTTCTTGGGTCCCTGTCCAAGCAGGAGGCATTTCTCAGATAAAAGCAGAGCTCGTGTCCCAGAGAGGCTCTTGGCATCCTCCTTGCAGCAGAAAAAAGCAGCTGGAGTCACCCGGGGGCTGCCCCCATGTTAGCTATGGAGGGTCTGCCTGGGCTGCCCCGCTGGCAGAGAGCCACTCGGGGGAAATGCCACTTTTGGGGGGATGCCTCTTGCTTCCCTCTGGCCTGATCCTGCTCTGGGTTGTTCTCTCCCCTCCAGGAGAAGATCTGTGATCCCTTCCAGCTGCTGGAGCAGCTGGCAGCCCCGGCTCCTGCCTGCCGTCCCGGTGGCACCTGTGGTCCCTCGGGGTGCTGCTGAGTGGCAAGCAATGCCCCCACACCGGCGGATGCCAGCGGGGCTGGAGGATGTGGCCCCAGCAGCGTGCAGCTTCCACCAGAGAGCAAATAAATGTCTGAGCTCGAAGGCTGTGTGCTCACGGCTGGGACCATGGAGCCCGTGGGGTCCTGTGCTTTCCTGTCAGGGCTGGTGGGGCAGGTTGTGCATGGTTGCGGTGAGGATGGGCAGCTGTCCTGTGGGTCCCCTTGCTATGGGGCTGGCAGTGGCCACATGGCTTGGACATGCAGGAAGGGAGGGTCTCCGTAGGAAGGGGGTCGTGGGTCCCCGCGCATGGGACGGCAGGTCTGGCATGGGTTTGGCAGTAGCTATGTGCTGCTGTTGAGCATACGGAGCAGATGGAGATGTTTGCAGAAGGCAGCTTGGCAGAGCAGGATGCAAAAGGAGGCCCCAATGCCGCACAGGGCCTGACCCTGCGGCGTGCACCCCTCTACGTGCCCCTGGCTCTGATTTGAGGTCTCGGGAGCCCACAGCCCACATGCAAATGCTTCTGAGAAGCAAAAGGCACAGCAATAAGCAGCCCAGTTGCTTTTTTCCTTCTTTTGGTCTCGCTGTGCTAACCCTCCACACGCAGGAAACCACAAGTGTCCAACAGGCAAATTCGGCGCAAGCTCCCAGCAGTGGGCTGAGCAGCTCAATAAGGCGGCTGCAAACGAGCGTCTCCGTGGGGCAGTGGGTGAGAAGGACCGGTCACCTCCAGGGGCTCAACCTGCTCCACTTTTCCGTGGAGAGCTCAATGTGGCACCCAGGGTGCAGAGGGATGTCTCTGTTATTTGCATTCAGGAGGGGGGATGCCCCAAGCGCAGCTCCCCCGCGCCTTGGCTCGCTTGCAGCCCCACAGACGGTTCCAAGAGACGGGAATTACTCTCCTTTCCCTTGTGCATCGCCGCTCAGGCTTCTGTTTTCCCCCAGACTCCATCTAGCGGGAAAGCCCCGAGTTCCCTGCAAACATCGCACCTGCAGAGTCTTGCAGGGAAATGCAGCCATTCTGGAAAGCCAGAAACCCACCCGGCTGCATCCCGCAGCGGGTGAGGACCGAGGACCGTGGACTGAGGGCTTCGAGGCTGCGGTGGGAGGTGATGGGCTGCATTCCCACCGCCCAGTGCGAATCCCGCATGCCCCAGCCCGCGGAGGCTGTTTGGGCAAGGTGAAGAGCAGCAGCACCCAAGCCCTTGGGTGAGCAGCTGAGCTTAGAAACGAGGGACCGTTTCCACCCCTCCTCACACACGCTGATTTTTCCAGGAGGGACCAAATTTTCCCGCTCTGCCATTTAAACAGCATCTTGCTGTGGCATGGGGGAAGATAAAAAGCAAACAATAAAATATTTGGGTTCAAAAAGAAACAAGTGGGCAAGTGCGAAGGATGCTCTGCAGTAGCTGTAGTGGTGGCTGAAGAGGGTTTGGGTGGTAAGGAGGCATTTCTGGAGCATCTGAAATGAAAAGCCTGAGCAATCAGGGAATGCCCGACTATTGCACAGAGACAGGAAATCCAGAAACTGGTGTGAAAGGCTGAGATGTTCAATAGTTCTTCTTGTTCTCTGCTGGAAACAAAGCTGCAGAATGGGTGACATGGCTATAAAAGGCAGTTTACCAAGCTGCAGAATACCCCATCTTGGGTGACATGGCTAGAAAAGGCACTTTACCATCTGTCTCAAGGGAGGTACAAGATGGTTTCTACTTGTAGATGAAGCTTTCAAATCCCTAGTAAATGTGCATCCCAGCAAGAGCTGTACCAGGACAAGGAACACTCATCGGTCCTCCAGTGTTAAGTCCTGACAAAATTTGGACCATTACAAAAAAATGAGGATTGTAAAAATAATTCCAAGATTTTGAAGGATTTCCTAAGTGCCTCGGGCTGCTAACCTGCCTGCTGCCATCAGCAAAATAGGGGTGCGATTAATTTACAATTTAGAGATTAAACATAGAAAAATGCCCGTAAATATGGTTTTCTGGAAAGTCGCCTTGACAGCCTGTCCTTTCGGCTTTGAACAAGACTATCAGTCTGACCTATTGGGTGTACAAAAATGTGTAAGTTGTTGGGTTTAGAGCTATACCACGATTTAAAAAAAAGAATCCTTGGTGTTATCTGGAATCAACAGGGCATGTATTACCTGGCTTCAGGTAGGGGTCCCTGGCAGACCAGCCTCGGGTTGACTGTGACTCGGCAGGCGAAAGAAGCTCTGAAATTGTGTGGAAGGACCTTACTGATGGGACCTTGGGAAGGACCTGCTGAAAACACAACCAAGATGCTGTTTAATCCCACCCCCGCATAGCCCTCTTCCGCAATTACTTAAAATTACTTTTTCAAAATCCCCTAACAGCCCATCCCAGGAGGTTTGCGGCAATTAGCTCCTGCTATCAAAGAGAGCCTTCCCAGTGGGAATGGAAGAGCAGATGGGGTGGGGGGGATCCTACCTGCAAACCTTTTCATTAAAAGGTCATGAGTCCCTGCTGTGGCCTTTCAGCTTGCCCAGGGAGAGAGGCGCCCACAGCGAGGTCCCCCCTCTGGCATGCATATGGAAAAAGGCCACAGCTAAATGCCACTGCATTTGCATAGCACTATTATTTTTTTTCCAAATTCTCGGCATTTCTGGGAGGAAGCGGCTAAGAGGACTTGCCTTTGATTTTGAGCATTAGAGTAGGGGTCCTCACCAGGCTGTGGATGTGGGGGTGTCTTGTCTGCCTGGCTTTGCTTGTGCATGCACAGCCTTGGGATTTTTAGCCCCCTAAGCCATGAAAAGAAGAGGTCCTGCAGCCCCGTACCACGTGAGGAACCCCAAAACAATCTGTCCAACATGGGTCTGGGTGGTTTGGTGATTGTAGAGATGGGCCACATCCCCTCTCCCACTGCGAATCTCTGCAGCACCGGTGTCCTCCCCGTGCAGGCAGGGAGGGTGCTGTGAGGGCAGGAGCCATAAGCTGTGATGCTCCGATTCACCCTGAGGTGAACGAGAAATGATTGCTGAGTCCCTGCTCGCTGTGGTTAGCGGGGAGTCACTGTGGCCCAGGGGCATCTGTCACCTCCCTGGGGGAGCAGACCTGCAGAACTCCCCCAGGATGAGCTGAATGAGGTTTGGGACCAGGAAGGATTTCTGGCTACAGCCCCCCGAGCACCGTGCTCCGCACCTCGCTGTATTGGGTTGTCCTGCACAGCCCTCTACTCTTCCATTTTTCCACTCACTTAGATAGAGGGGAGGCTGATTTACGTCCTCTAAAGGGTCACCCTGAACCCAAAACGCGATCCCAGCTGCCATGGGCCATACTGGATGCTCTCACGGCTGTTCGTCTCCGGCTGTCTGGGATGCTAAACCGCATCCCGTGCTATATATTGCTCATCGCCGACGGGCCGTGGAGCCGTGATGGCCGGGCCGTGGGGGCTTTATTGCCCCAGCCGGGATTGCGGCACAGCAGCCGAGGCCTCGGAAGCAGCCCGGCTCCCGGGCCGGTGGGACAGTCGGCACACACCGAAATGACAGGTCTGTCCCTGAATGGGGGCCCGTCAGCCCTCCGTGCACCCACGCGGGGAGGACGAGCGGAGCGGGGCGCCTGGGGAGGCTCTGACCGTCGCCGGTGGGAGCTCCGGAACCGCGGCCCCACTCCTGCCGTGCCTCGGCGTGGGGTCTGTCCCGTCGCACGGGGCTGGAGTTGCCCCAGGGCGGCTGAGCAAAAGGCAGAGATGAGGGAGCGGAGCGCGACTCGTCCGTGTTTGGTATGTACTGTTTAATGGTTCACGTTTAGTTTCGCCCGCAGGAACGACAAAGC